TAGCCGCTTATATATAGTAGGACTTTAGCATTATATATAGTAGGACTTTAGCAGAGGTTTTCCAAACAACAACAGGTCTGTTCAGTTGGTTCCTCGTTTTCTTCTCACTAATACAAACATGTTGATAAAAAGGAATAATAGAAGCAAACCTATTCGTATGGGAAGATATGTGTTTTTTTTACTGAAACAACCACGTCCAAATTAATTTTGGAACCACTAAAGGGAAAGTAAGTAAAATTTGCCTTTTCATGGCCTTAACACGTCATTTCGGTCGAACTTCCATTACTGTAACTCCCGATAAGTTAGGCAGATCGAACATTATTGAAAAACTTCATCGCATCCAACAAGGAAGGGCTCTCAGGTCGCCATGGCCATTCAAGAAGAGATGTATACCGCTAGATGTGCCTTTGAAGCTGATCTCAAATCTACCTTCCAAATCTGCTAAACGATTCTCTGAAGGGAGTTATGAAGCAAAACAGCGCAACGGCAGTGGTCGGGATTTGCAGTCAAAACGTCGTAGGATCGGCCCCTGATCGCGTCTACTGTTTTGCCTTCTTCAGAGTACAGCTAAAGGCTTTAATAGCCTATTTAGCCTAATTCCTGAAGAACGCAAGACAGTAAACGCGATCAGGGGCCGATCCTACGACGTTTTGACTGCAAATCCCGACCACTGCCGTTGCGCTGTTTTGCTTCATAACTCCCTTCAGAGAATCGTTTAGCAGATTTGGAAGGTAGATTTGAGATCAGCGTTCAAAGGCACATCTAGCGGTATACATCTCTTCTTGAATGGCCATGGCGACCTGAGAGCCTTTCCTTGTAAGTACTACGTATTTGAAGATCAAAGTCCATGGTTTTGATGCGAGGCGCTCGCAGAATCGCTCTGGTGCCACGCGGTGCAAAAGCGCAAAACGCGCGATGTCGTCAACGTACTTGTTTTCATTGTATAGGGGAAAGTACATCAGTATCATCGTCATGAACCGATGTTCATGATGTCACTCAAGCCCCGCCCTCAGAGGATAATAAGAGCGCGGAAGGCGGTGTCGAGATCGCTTTTGGTCGGAATTTGCGCTCGCGAGGTGTGAGCCTCTTCACGCTAGTTCACTGGCACTGATTACTGATCCCAATTCAGCTATTAGACTGTTCTGTCGGAAATCCTGGCCGTACGACACAGAAAGCTAAAGTCTTTTGTCCCGTGCTATGATGAAGAGTTTGGGCCAATATGGCGATCGGCAGACTCGCTTGAGACGTTGACACTTCGATATTTAAGAAACTGGCTTACTGTTACGATTGTAGAATTTATAAATAAGCAAGTATATGAAGAGATGGTGTTTTAAAGAGAATCAACCAACCTTACATTTGGGAGTGATGCCCCAGAACAGTCATCATGAGGTATACTTTTACGAAAATATGTAGATTCCCTTTCTCGTATCGGATTGATAAGCATGGCATTTTCAATGCGTTGTGGCCTGGTGGACCCGCTACTGTATTGACATGTGTCAGGGCTAGTTTTGCTTATTATCAAGTAGGGGAGTTAGGTAAGAACTCGATGGGGCGAGCAACGTCACAGCACGTTCTGATTCTGTTTAGATGTTCCTTGCGTTCTGGGCTGGCAAACATTCAAAACGATTATGCCCAGTGAAGAAGTAATAGTATAATGAGAGAATTCTGACACTGTGAGCCTTTCGACAGAAGGCTGAGATAGAGGTTGTTGTGGTTGTGCAACCATTATCGGCTCAAACTCCACACGACGATCCTTCTCTCCACATGCTATCCGATAGACCCATACACGTACTCCACCTCTGAAAGTATACGCATTACTTTGGGAACAAATTCAATTCCGCGTCGTTTAGCTCTGTCTTTATCAGTTTTGAAGCTCGTTTCTGTAGACGGCACATTGGATTTAGGGCAGGGTGAATAACGGTCGAGGAAATCCTCGACAGGGGGTCGTATTTGTCGGTGGGTCATGGGGGTCGTACTCGTGGGGGTCAGTAACGTCAGTGGTATCGTGGTGCAGATAGGAGGGAGAGGGTGTAGCGCAGCAGAAAATAAGGATATGTGAGAAAACATGATATAAAATATTCTTTGCAGGTTCAGTCGCTCCGTCCTCTACCTTCGAGAAGGAAGTATTTGAAAGCAGTACAAAGAATGAAAGTGCATCTTGCAAGGAACAGGGTCACATGTGCACACGCGCTGCGAAGGCACCTCCTCTATCTACCGCCCGCTCCCTCTCCCTCAATACCTCGTTGAGAATGACACTGTTGTTAGGGAGCTGTCTTAAAAAAGAGAATAGTTCTGGAAAGGCTCTGGGCAAATGAAGCTGCTCCTTAAAGCGAGGGATTACGATAAGTTTGGACTGGGTTCATAGTGGAAGTGGAGATGCTGAATAATGCCCCAGTGGCGAAAAAAGCAAAGAAATCCGTCAAGAAGGCGCAAAATGGGACCCCTTTCTTTGCCCGTTGACCTCCGATAATGGACGAGCTAGCAACCAATTAGGAGGTCGTTTGCACATGTTATGCTGATAGCCTCTATCATTTCAGCAAGCATCATGCTTTGATTGATCACGCATCCCATGAAAAGTTATAGGATACACTCTGGAAGTGGAATATCTCGTCACATTGGCAATCGAAGGGCGCTGCTGCTGGGGGCGGAGCACAGACCGTGGCGGGGCTCAGAAAGGAATGGCAAGCCTTGTACGCTGCAACTAGCGCACCTTTGACCACAAAAACGCAACATTTCGTTTCCTTGGGCCCCTGACTACTGCTTCCAATGGTGCATGTACTTCCACGCTGCATACGCACTTTATCGTAATCTCTCGCTTTAAGTTATGGAAGTTACGAAGTATGGACCTCATGTATATAACACCTTTCAATAGATTCTACAACTTGAGTGGAGGTCGGATGCATGGCCTATACTGAGACAAATCGGATGATGACGATTGCCCCTTTTCTTATTGCTTACGTTGGAAGAATTTATTCTAGACACATTTCGAGCGTTGCCAACGAATTAACTTGCAATGGTGAAGAAGGGAGCGGTTTTTAGGTGGCCGAGATCCGTCCTCGATAGATCCTCGACGCAAATATCTCCTCAACTAGAAATGTAGAAGAAAGCTAAAAGACTGTTAGAAAGCGCAAACCTTCCGCTTTTCATGACTGCCGTCTTTTTTTTTGAGGTCCTACGAAATTAAAGAAATACTGCCTCCTAACCAGGAAAGGCATTCAACTTCCCATGGAACTTTAAGTGAGACCCAGATATATCGATAGAGCTTCAAACGCTGATTACAAATATGGAAACTAAAACTGCAAAACGAACCTGCCAAGGAAGTTCGAGAGCACTATCACTGCTCCTACGGCGACTTTGAAAGCCCTGGAGGCTAGCACAGTTGTAACGCTTTACTTCCAGCCAACTTTGACTGCTCACAACTTCCTTGGCAGGTTCATTTTGCAGTTTTAGTTTCCATATTTGTAATCAGCGTTTGAAGCTCTATCGATATATCTGGGTCTCATCTCAAAGTTCCATGGGAAGTTGAATGCCTTTCCTGGTAAGTGGGAAAACTCGCATGAAAAATTCAGCATCCTCGACGCTGCCTCGACAAAATTTGAGAGACCCTATCTCTTCGAGTGTAAAGATTTAGATCAATTTCAATATTGCCCGGTAGTAGCAAATCCAGCTCTATCTAACCCTACCCCATGCTGCGTCAAAGGTTATGAAATGAAATGAAAGTTTATGAAATGAAATGAAATGGAATGAAACCATTCCCATCGAGAGTGTAGATTTCGACGGTTTCGAGCGGGGTTTCGGCAAATCTGACCCACGGATAAACCGCGCTGCAACTGAATGCTTTGCTGTACATTGATGGAACTCGCTTATTCACATCAAATCAAAGTTAGAGGGGTCGTATCAAGACCCGATCTGAGGGGGGGGGGTCGTACTGATGTGACCACGTCCTCGACACGATTTTCACCCTGATTCAGGTCCAATCGCCCATTCACACTAATTGATGAATAAGGGGGTCGCGTTTAGTGGTTTTGGAAACGGGGGGAGTGGAAACGCACTTTGGGGTGAGCAGTTTAAGAAACTATGGGAAATGGTCGTAAAAATTGGATTGGGTTGACGGGATTTGCATAATTATACGAAGTTATACGATCGGTGAAAATTTCACCAGATAGGGTAAATTGGCAAAATTTTGGATTGGCCGCCCAGAACCCAGTTTATCCCCTTCCCCCTACTCGCATTTCTCCTTCCCCCTATCACTTCGCTCGACCCTCATGGTCTTTTGAAAGGGAAAATAGGCG